GTTTTATGGGTTTCATTTCACTGCTAAATTTTGACAATCTCTTCACTTTTCTTCTCTCAAAATGACTTCCAATAATTAGTTTTACTTTTTTATGCGTACAAGTTTTTGTATACCATCAATCATTCAAGTTATCGGTCTTTGATCCATAATTTTTTTATGATATTGTTAATAATACCGTATTTAATTTAAGACCTCAATCATCTCTTTCATATGAGATCGAACTAACTATCATAGATTTTCTCAGAACAAATTGAAGTACTACGTAAAGACCGTATTCTACACTCCATCATGACAACATCTCACATACGATACAAGCTCCAAAACAAGACGCGGAGACTAATATGCTTTGTAAACAATAGGTCTTTGTTATTTCCATTTATTTAATACATTTCCTAGATAAGCTTTATAAACAAATTTTAATAAAAAATAGTAGATAAGCGAGGGGTTCACGCAAAGCGAAGAAACTCTGCGTTGATTTAACGTTGAGCTAGAAGAATAAAGCAATAATAGTAAAATCAGTTATAAGTAATTTCTTCATTGTTGAAACTTTCTCCGTGGAATCAGTTCTCCGAAGAAGAACTCAGACTGAAAAGTACAAATATAACAACAGTTATGTAAGGTCAAGAAATTAAATGGATAATTATAGTTAAGTAAATTAATAAAGGTCATACTAACCCTTTGTCTACAATCACGACAGTACGAATTTCGCAATTAGCAAACCTGTAACATCAAAAGATTGTAATTAATTATACAAAGAATTATATAATCTTGACCATACTGCAAAAGAGAAACTTTTGTATAACCTCTTGCAAAGTTCATGCCTAATTGACTCGTCACAATCGTTTGCAAACACATACAACATATGCTGCAAAACTATTCCATGGCTAACAACTGCGACCTCCTTCTCTGGTCTACTCCATAACCTAATTAATTACACAAAATTCATTAGTTCTCTAACAATATATGATAATGTTATTAATATATATACTTAGGATTGAAAAGGCTTACCATTTCATGAACTCTAACCCTCTCGCAAAAATCTCTTCTTCAGACTCTCGAACATCGGGTCTCCATAAGTTGTCCTCATCACTTTCAATCTATAATATATGAACCAAGATATTAGAGAAACCATGTGTATCCTTATATATACTGAGAAAGCTTTATGTATATATCCAAGAATATGATTTATTTATTTTTCAAAAAAAGAAAAATGAATATGATTTATATATATATTAGGAAGAGTGAAAAGAAGATCATTGCCTGAGAGAAATCAATTGTGGGGAAAAGAGTTTGATACTCGCTCACGTTTCTTCTCATATCAGGAGGACGGAGTCCCTGCATGCACACATCAATAATAAAAACTTTGAAGTTGCAATTTTTCGTTAATATATTAGTCTATATAATCAATAATATGAGACATTTTCTCTATCAATCATACATTACGGTCTCTAGCAACCTCAAGTGCCAAAATGGGAGGGCTACTTGTCATATTTGGTTTCTCATCTTCATTTCCAAAAACTCCAACCGCGGTTTGCATGGTTCTATAAATAACCGAAAAGATCATCATCGGTCAAAGTCACTTTAAAACAAAAATTAACTAAAGTGATCAAATCTTCAATGCTTCTATATATGCAAATATATAATACCTCAACAAGGGAGAAGTTACAACTAGTTCAACCCTCTTTAGTAGCCCGCTTGAAACAACTCGTTCGCGGAGGTTCTCAACCTTTAGAGAAGCACTAAACGATTAGATGGAAACAACACAATAGCAATAAAAATAAAAAAGCAAAGTCGCATGAAGGGGATCTATCATGTGTATGTTGATCCATATGTTTTTAAGGTTGAGGTTATAGAGTTTACTTGTTGGTGGCCATGATCAGTAAGTGGAGCATCAAAAAGGCGAGGAGACAACAACGCATTCCTATCCTTCTCGGCTTCTACATTGTGCACCGCTTGTCCATGCCTCAACTTCAATAAAAGAAAGAAGAAACATTATTATTACGCATCAACAAAGCCATATTACAATAATCAGTCTTGTTAATTATTTGTGCCTTACCATGTGAATGATTTTACAGCTCTCCAAGGGGTACAAGAATCTTGCATCCATTTCTCTACACATTATAATTATAATGTTTTCTTTAAGAAACAACTAATTCATTAAGAAACAAAACAAAAAAACTATTTATAGTTTCAAGTAAAAAGATACTAGACAAATTGCAAATATCAAACCTATTAAAGAGAAGAATTGGTAGGGGTGGAAAAATATCTCAGGGGGGTTTTCTTTGATCTCAAGGTTATACTTCAATGATGGTATTGATAGGAAAAATGATGGGCTCTCTCTGATTTTCTTTTATAGTACTTGAAAGTCTTCAAGACCACACGTGTGAAGTCGAATTGTACGTAAACTTTCATGCAATTACAAGTCAAAAGCTTTCCATTTGACTCATTCTTGATTAGTATTACTAACGTATAACAAGTTATTTCTAAGTAATTATTAAGAGTAATTAACCCCCAAAAAATCATTTAAATTATTCAACAACAACAAAAAACGAGAACTAAAGACCTTGCAATCACGAATGAAGGTAATTCAATGGATTTTCC